CGAATCGGGATTGTCATCATCATTATCAGTAAAGGTGATCTGTGATCGTATAGAAATGGATGTATTTTAGATAACAATTGAACCATTGTCAATCGGTCAGTTACAACGTAGAACTTCGTACGTATGTATATCAGTTTGAGTTGCCATACCGCATTAATACAGAGCCACAAATGTCCATTCAAATCCCATAGTAGTTAGGAGTTAGAAGTTGTTCATTTGAACGAGTTATGACGTTTCATGACGAAAGGCAGACCGGTGTCAGGCAAGGTTGCTTAACCTCACCCTTCCTCTTTCTCCTGGTCATCAATCGACTGGATTATGAAGACGTCGACATCTGGAGGGAGCACGGTATTCAGTAGACAGCTAGGACGCAGCTGGACGATCTAGACTTCGCAGATGATCTGGCTCTTCTATCGCCCACGCAACAACAAATCCCTTGTACAATATACTCAATGGAGAGGAAGCAACATTGGAGAATAATTGTAAAGGGATCAAGGAAGCAATCACTTCAACATGTCACGAAGTAGGACGAAACATGAATCCTATTTTTCAGTGCTAGCCGTATTACATTTATTATGTTTACAAGAAGTTTGAAATAATTTTACTTGGGAGTGTTATGCAACATAATTCCACCTGTAGACCCTTCGGGGCTACTACCGGTCCCAAGCCCGAATAAAGGAGGAGGTTTGGGCATGGGGTTGTCGATCCCATCCTAACTAAAAACTAACTAGCCAAAAAGCGCTAACCAGAAAAAATAATTCAAACCATTTTCACTCTGACCTGGGAGTTGGAAGAGGAATTATGACGTCACGTGATGAAAGCCGAGTTCCCTCGGAAGTCACGAGGCCGATACCTCTTCTGACAATCAGACTCGCGAAAACCAGCCTGGTTTTCGACCTGGACGTGGTTGTATAGACCACATCTTCACACTACGACAGGTCCTGGAACACAGACACACATTGAGGCGTCCTACAATAGTTGTTTTCATGGACCTTAAGGCGGCATTTGACTCTGTGGATCGTGAGGTTCTGTGGCAGTGTCTGTCATTGAAAGGTGTACCGAATAAGTACATTAACCTCATACAAGCTCTCTACTCAAACACCACTGGTCGAGTGAGAGCTTATGGCGAACTGTCAACGGAATTCTTCACTTCAAGTGGTGTGCGTCAGGGATGTCCACTTTCTCCATTCTTGTTTAATTTTATCATAGACATGCTCCTAGAAATAACCTTATCCTCGTCTGAATTTTCTGGAGTAGACCTTTTACCAGGTGGCTCGCTTATTGACTTAGAATATGCCGATGACATAGTCCTACTTGGTGAAGACGCTGACAAAATGCAGAGTCTTCTGACTACCCTAAGCAACAATGCAAGCATGTTCCGGATGCGGTTTTCCCCCTCGAAATGCAAAATGTTGCTTCAAGATTGGGTTTCATCGGCACCTGAACTAGTGATAGGGAGTGAAGTGGTCGAACGTGTAGACCGCTTCACTTACCCAGGGAGTCTTATCAGTGCTGGTGGCTTGGTGACTGACGAAATCTGAGCACGGATACAGAAGGCTCGATTGGCTTTTGCCAACCTGCGTCACTTATGGCGAAGGCGAGATATCCGTTTGCTAATTAAAGGACGAGTGTGCTGCGCAGTAGTTCGCTCCGTCCTACTTTATAGCTGTGAAACATGGCCAGTCAGAGTAGAAGATATTCGTAGGTTACTGGTTTTCGATCATAGGTGTCTTCGAAGCATTGCTCGTATATCGTGGGACACCCGAGTGAGCAACGCTGTTATTAGGAAACGAGTACTAGGTAAGAATGGCAGATCAATAGATGAAGTGGTGAAACTTCATCAGTTGAGGTGGTTGGGAGACGTGTTGCGTATGCCTAACCAGCGATTGCCTCGTCGAGCTTTGTTTTGTGGTGTAGAATATGTTGGAAGAAAAATAGGGGCGGCCAGACCAAAACAAGGCTCAAATACATGAAATCATTGACGAGTGGACTTAGCCATGTCGGTAATTGTCGACTACCTGGTTGGGGTCCGCGAGATGATAATAATCGATGGTTAGAAACCTTGAATGACATGGCTCAAAATCGTTCGCAATGGCGCCAGTGCATTTATTCTTTGTGTTCTCTCAAATCCTAATCTTCTGGATTCTTCAACACCTCAAGTTTTTACTTTCTAAACTTATATCATTGAATCATACTTCGTGAATAATATCTTCTAATTCTAACCTCTCCGATTACTTCTAATACCTTTACTACCTCTTCTACTATTGGATTTGAATTGACAATTATATCTCTGTGCTGATGTGGTATGGCGACATGAACTGATGTACTTACGTACGAAGTTCTACGTTGCAACTGACTGACAAGCAGAGCGACCATTCTTTTAGGTACATGGAACGTTCGTACATTGTGGAAGACTGGAAGACTATTTCAAGTTGCGGCAGAAATGCGAAGATACAACCGCGGTGCTTGGAAGAATGTGAAAACTAAAAGAGGAGCTGATATAGCCTCATATGACCACTTGCTTGTTGCTAAAATAAAACTGAAACTCAAGAAACACTGGATAACGGGGCAGACAACAGCACACAAGTTTAATACAGCCTTTCATCAGGATACTGTAAAACTCAACGAATTCAAGACAGAAGTTGTTCATTTGGACGAGTTATGACGTTTCATGATGAAAGGCAGACTGGTGTCAGGCAAGGTTGCTTACTCTCACCCTTTCTCTTTCTCCTGGTCATCAATCGACTGGATTATGAAGACGTCAACATCTGGAGGGAAGCACGGTATTCAGTGGACAGCTAGGACGCAGCTGGACGATCTGGACTTCACAGATGACCTGGCTCTTCTATCTCACACGCAACAACAAATGCAAGAGAAGACGACCAGTGTAGCAGCAGCCTCTTCAGTAGCAGGTCTCAACATACATAAAGGAAAAAGCAAAATTCTCCGATGCAACACAACATGCACCAACCAAATCACTCTTGATGGAGATGCCTTGAAGGACGTTAACACCTTTACATATCTGGGCAGCATCATCGACGAGAAAGGTGGATCCGATGCAGATGTGAGGGCACGGATTGGCAAAGCAAGGACTGCATTTCTACAGTTGAAAAATATCTGGAACTCCAAACAACTTTCAACCAAAGTCAGGATTTTCAATACAAATGCGAAGACAGTTCTACTGAAAGGAGCGGAAACATGGTGAACTACGATAGGCGTCATCCATAAGATACAAGTGTTTATGAACAGTTGTCTACGCAAAATACCTCCGATTCGTTGGCCAGACACCATCAGCAACAACGTACTTTGGGAGAGAACGGACCAGATTCCTTCAGTGGAGGAGGAAATCAGGAAGAAGCGATGCACTTGGATAGGACACACTGCGAAAAGCACTTAACTGCGTCACTTGGAACCCTCAAGACAAAAGGAAAAGAGGAAGGCTGGGGAACACATTACGCCGAGAAATAGGGAAAGATTTGAGAGGATTCAACAAAAAATGGACAGAACTGGAGAGGGAAGCCCAGGACAGAGTTGTTTGGAGAAAACTGGTGTGTGGCCTGTGCTCGATTGAGGGTAACGGACGTAAGTAAGTAAGTAATGATGAAAGCCGAGACTGATGCCGATTGTGACAACCAGAGCCCTTCCACGTTGTGGAAAGCCAGGAAGTAACATCCGCTGAATCGGTCACAATTAAATCCCTTCTACACCTACACAGCTCTGATATTAAGTGGTTAGAAGTAAATAAAAAGCTTAATCTTTTATTCATCAAACTGGATGGTAACTATGAAGTGACAGCTATTCAATAATGTAATCAAACGACTGTTATTGTAAACAGTTTAGTGAAATTTAAATTCCGACAAGTAATCTGGTATGGCGAATTGAACTGATATACATACGTACGTGCAAAGTTCTACGTTATAGTTGAATGACTGAGAAGTAAATGACACACTATAATGAATAATTGATTATCTCGGTATTCACTAATAAGGCCAATCATAGAAAAAGTGCATATTACAGAGGTGGTGATCATTGAAAGAGTGAATAATATTTTTGAATGATGTGTGAAAATATGGTCCATTCTCCCTTTGTCCCTATTATTTATTTATATAAATACATTATTATTGGTATAATGAGACACTTAAATATTAACGAAACACACAAATCATCAAATGCGCGAATGATCTGGGCTACTTTCCGGATGTCCACACCAAAGCAGATGGTGTCTCTTTTTTTTAACATGGACACTCATCAAGCTAATCCACACGACAGCGAAGCGATCCCATTGTAGCCAGTGACTAAGAATAAGTTCACAGGTTATCTGTTCCCTCAGGATTTTCTATAGAGCCCATATACATTATCGGTTTGGTAAGAGGATTTTCTAACTCTCCTCGGTAGATGTTCCATGCTCACTTGCTTTTCAGCCTCGCCATTTTTTTGAACTACACTCCTACTGTAGAAAGGTAGTGTTGTGGTGCGCGCTACTTATAAGTATTATATGACGCGAGTGTAAATGTAATGTCTGGCAGCAGAAGATGGGGGATGATCAAGAAAGTAAGAAGAGTGGGAACACAATGGAAATTGTATGAAACGCATGAAGAGTGTGACAATGAATTGATGTTTTGCAACAGGAACAGTCCAGTTCGATATGATGAACTGATATTTTGCAAATTAACGATTTAGGATATGGTTGTCCGATTTTACTGAGTAACTCTGTCATTTTCGTTGAATGCAGTTCGGTTGCCCTCACATGTGTTCTCCTTCACTACATTGTGAGTAGGACTTCTCTGTTATAGGCTATACACGCATGGTCATGTGATATGTACAGAGAGGGTAATAAGAATTTGAAAAATTATAGTTGTATGGTAGAGAGAGAGAGATTGAGAATCCTTTTTGGTACAGACAACAATCAAGCGGAGTCCGTCCATTCATTCTCCCTAAAGGATTATAATAATAATAATAATAATAATAATAATAGTAATTAAAACAATGAATTAAACTTACACTTGGTGAAAATTGACAATCACTATTCGGTGTAATATTAGCTGGTTTATGTTGTACAATAAATGGACATGATTCAACTAATTCATCACTTTGAAATGCTGTTCTATGATAATTATCAATTGATTTCGGTGGTAAACGTTCTCTTTTCAGACCAGTTAATGAACGAAATACAACTTGTGTTAATTTATTACTAGCAAAACGTTCAGTATCTTCAAATTGTATAGAATGATTAATTAAACTTCTTCCATCCAGACATATATATTGAGTTGACTAAATAAATGAATAAATTCCAAAAATGTCAAGCAATAATCTAATTATATTTAATGTGAACAGTATAAATGTTATACAGTCAGTTAAGTCAGTCATGTGCTGTTACGGGTATGAGGGTGGTTGTCACTTCCTGGTTGCCTACACCGTGGAAGGGTGTTTCTAGAGGAACCTGAAAAGGAAGGTAGAAGATTAGCGTTGGGAATGTGACCCCAGAGCTCAAGGGACAGTTGCTTGAGGCCGGTCACGCACGGCCTTTTTATGAAGGGTTTTTTAAGGATTAGCTGCGCTCTTGAAAGCCCTTAGTGGGCACCATTACCGCCGGAGACGGACATCTGTGAGGTAGGGTGAGGTGTGATATTTTTAGGGTCGACCTTTTCTAACCCTTCCTTCCTTGTGAGAACAAAAATTATTAAAATTTATTAATTTAGAGTGGAGTTGGGGATTGATAAACTGATATATGATTGTGGTAGGGAAAAAAATTACTGGATGACACTACAGAGCTCTCTTCTTTATTATGGTATTCCTGAGAAGATTGTCAATATAATACGGAATTCTTATGATGGATTAAACTGCAAAAGGAAAGCTCACACACAGACTAGTTCCAAGTGAACATAGGTGTCAGATAAGTTTGCTTACTCCTAGACCATCTCTTTATCTTGGTGCTTGACCGCGCTATCCTTACGCAGTATCGCTTTCCTATTAACTGAATTGCTTACTCGATAATGCAAAGATAAACGAGCAATGCTTCGGAGATATCTATGATCGAAAATCAATAACCTACGAATATCTTCTACTCTGACTGGACACAGTAGGATTGAGCGCAGGAGTATTATCAACAATCTTATCCTTAGTAGCCGCAGCTGTACAAGTAGTAGTATTTTTCCCATGACATCCATTCAACTCTTGCGCAGTGTCCAACTCTACTCTATCTACACTACTTCCCTTACTAGGAATGTCCACCTCATCTGTCTAACGACTGTTGGTAGTGCTCATTCTGATACTTTTATTAGAAGTCAATGATGGTGGAGTGCGACAGGTGGACAATTCCATGCTCGATTCCTCATGCTGCATATTCAACACAACAGCATGTCCATTAAACCTAGATGACTCCTTATTGCACCTAGGGCACTGATTGTTAGCCTTCTCAGTAGTGCCATCACTGTGGCTGACGCTATTGCCACCGACGCCTACATTCTCCACGCTCAAACATCCAAATTCGCCCTGATCTGAAGTACTCGAAGAAGCTACATTAGTAACAGCAACCGAAGAAACTGCACTACCTATAGTGATTTCGCTCTCGATACCATCACCTTTAATATTCACATCTATCACATTATTAACAGACACACGAGGTCTCACCTCAACCTTGTTGTTGTTGTTGTCCACATTGATGTTCCGACTATTCACAGTTAGTGGCGAGTTGCGAGATAGTTCGCGTGCAGGCTTTAATGGTAAGCTACCACTGCTGCCACTTACACTAACACTATCAATGTTGCTATGACTCCTTGGACTGATATGCGACCGTCCATCAATTGACTGTAAACAAACATCAGCAGGACGCGCCAAGCTGCTATTGTCTTTCGCTTCACTATTATGATACTCCGTAGAACTAGATACAGTAGCCGGCAGACATCCTGATCGCGTAGCAACATGAAGTGTTGTGTCACTGTTTAAGCCTGTTGTCCTAGGATCAGCTCTAGGTCGTTCCGAACATAAGCTTCATTCAGTACAGTCAAACCCGTTTCGTCCTTATTTATATTTCATACACCCAGTAATCACTGTTCGCTCGAATCCAAATTACCCCATTCTTCTTATTTCGAGCAACTAGGAAACTTCTACCATCATATACCTCGGATCCGTCTTTCTTTCGTCTTTTAGTGTTAGGATATTTATCCGATATCCTAAGAGCATTTGTGGTCAAATCCTATTGGTCGATTTCTGTTGGTCAAAATTATGGTCGTTTTAACTGTCAAAGTCAAATACTTCAATGTTGTCTCTGACTGGTCATCCGGACTGTCAATGTCACAGAATTCGATGATGTTTCCTATTCAACCAAAATGTATCAATAGGCATTATCTGTCACATTTATTGACCACGACCAGGACCAGGGCTCGGTCCCGGATTCCTAGTCCGGGATCCTGATTCTCTTCTGGATTCGGACTTCGTACTTTCTGGATGCTTGTAGAATACAAGTTCTACTTCATATCACGTCTTTTTATTTTTACTTATTATGAGGAGCTGGGATAATCGGATTTGAGTAGTATGTCATGTCGCCAGATCCAACTAAGGTAAACTCGTAATAGTTGTAGTGTATATCAAGTTGACGTGTTTATGTGCAGGCGTAACATTTAGCATCTACATATATATATATATATAGTATTTCAACTCGTTTTTTAAACTTTTAACAGGGTTTTTTAAAATAACCACAGCGTTTTTTAAAATAGCCACAGCGTTTTTTTAAAATTTTTTGTAATCCTTAGAATGTCAGAAATAAATAGAAAAAACAACTTGATTTCGAATGAAAAAAGAAAAAGCCTTATATAAAAAAAGTTATTGAAGATGGATACAGCGTCAAGGATGCGGCATTTCTTACAGATGTAAACTATCAGGCCGCTACAAATATTATAAGGTTGTATATATAAAAAGGAATCGCGAGTTGAGAAGAAAAAAAAACAGGAAAATCATCAAATATATAAGAAGATATGCGGTGATATATATTATCAATTTTGTTGAAGAATTGATATAGAATTAAACCCGTTAATAACGATGGTAGAAATTCGAGAAAAAATAGAAAACATATTTTCTATAGGCCTTTCTCTTGAATCTATAAGAAGGATAATTTATAGACTTCAGATTACTTTGAAAAAGATTTCTTATACATCGGTCAATATAAATTCGGAATCCAGTAAAAACAAACGCCAAATTTATGCTCAAAATTTTATGAACATTGAAGATACATACATTTATAAAAGTTTTTATAGATGAATCTTCTTTTAATTTGTATATACTTAAGAAAACCTTGGGAAGATCTATATACAAGAGGAAAACCGACAAGTGCCCTAGAGTTCCATCAACCCGTGGAACCAATATATAAGTTTAATATCAGGCTATAACAGAAAATGAAGTTCTCTTTGCTAAACACATTTGTTAATTCGGTGAATTCAGATAAGTTCATTCAGTTTTTTGGTTATTTTAAAAAACGCTGTGAAAATTTTAAAAAATTTTTTGGTTATTTTAAAAAACCCTGTTAAAAGTTTAAAAAACGAGTTGAAATACTATATATATATATATATATATATATATATATATATATATGATGCACTTACTTGCATTATATGTTGATAATAACGCAGTAAAAATGGTGGTATTGTTTTCATTCGAAAACCTAATTCTAAACCCAACAATTCTGTATCATTTTTAATCCATGCCAAAAAATCTGCATCAACACAATCGACCGGTGGTAATGATTCCACTTGAAATCTTGGCTCATAAATGAACAAATAAAATTGTTCATTACTAGTACCAATCATAACACAATCTAAATAACTAATTATCTCTGTTGGTGAAGGCAAATTATTCCAATGATCACATGACATGTATAAATAAGTAGTATCATCATGAATGAGAGTTGAATTACTACTACTACTGTTCATTGATTCCATTGTTTCATTGAAATTACTGTTATTATTAGTTCCTGTCATGTTCACAGTATTCATATCACTTTCATTGACAGTTGTTGTTGTTGTTGATGTTGTCGTCATTATCATTGAAGAAGTAGAAGTAGAAGAAGATACTGGTTGAATTGGTGTTGTTTTACCGCTATTCCCTGTGGAATATTTCTTTGTTTCCATTGAGGCGGAGGAGGAGGAGGATAAACGTACAATGAAACAACCAACATTTGGACAAAATTGACATATCGGTGATGATGATTGTTCCGTATTGGATTGATGAAATGATAATTCAAATGTTCGATCTGTTTGATAAGGACCACCGGTTAAATTGATTTTTGCTGGCCAATAACCACTTGGACATAACATAGTAGGCGGCGAATAATCATTACTATGTGTATTAGTAATATAAATTATATTAATACAATGAAAATTAATTGAGAAAATTCAATTCTCATGATTATGTACTATGAAAAACGTAAGAAAATGTTTTGTGAAATAAAAATATAGAACATCATTTCGTCCATATTTCTTGTACATCATTTGATTATTGAATGGTCCAATCAAATTGGTGAAATGAAATCATGACCTTGATCCTACCGTTATCACACACACACAGTTATCGATCGATTGAACAATACAATACAATTGGGTGTGTGCCCATATATATGTAGAAAATATCGTTTCAATACTACTTATGGGGAAGAGTGAAAGTTTGAAAAAGAAAATTCTGATTGGATGTTTAGAAACTACACCTAAATTATTAACTTGTAAGATTATAATGACGTGATTAGACGACAATCAAAGAGAACCTGCTGTTTATTTTTTCAGAACGAGAACACGGGCGGGGGCAACCGAATTGTATTTAAAGAAAATTACAGAGTTACTCAGTAAAATCGGAAAACCATATCGTAAATCGTTAATTTGCAAAATATCAGTTCATCATATCGAACTGGACTGTTCCTGTTGCAAAACATCAATCCATTGTCACTATTCATGCGTTTCATACAAATTCCATTGTGTTCCCACTCTTCTTACTTTCTTGATCTTCCACCATCTTCTGCTGCCACCAGACATTACGTTGACATTTACGTCATATACTCCTTATAAGTAGCTCGCACCACAGTATTCGGTATTTGCAGTGTAGGAGATGGCCAGTTTAGCACCAACCTTTTCAATGGTAGACCTCAATACACACTAGGGAAAAAGTAAGATCCTCCAGTACAACACAGGATGCAGCAATCAGTTTCAGCGGCTAGATTGACTGAGATCTTAGATAGAATCGAGGAACTGGAGGTAATCCCATCCGACTGGTCTTCTATAAGAAAGGACAAAAGTTCTCATGTGACAATTACAGAGAAATCAGTTTGACTAATGTAGTATTTAAGATACTAGCTTCAATAATACTCGGACGCCTAACTACAGCTCGTGAAGAGCAGACCAAGAGAAAATCAGGATGGGTTCAGACCTGAACATGGTTGTATAGACTATATATTTATAATTCGTTAGGTTAGGTTAGGAACATAAACACAAATCTCGGCTTTCAACATCAGTTGCATTCATGAACCAACCTTAAGGCAGCATTTGACTTTCTCGATCGTGACGTCCCTTGGCAGAGTCTATCATTGAAAATAGTATCAAAAAACTAAATTAACCTTATACAGGCTACCTATTCGAACACTGCTAGCATAGCGAGAGCTTATGGCGAATTGTCATCGAAATTGATTACCTCAAATGGTGTTCGTTAGGGTTGTTCACTTTCTCTATTTTTAATCAACTTAGCTATTGAAATGCTTTCATAGATAATACTTTCATCGTTTGACTTTTCATGAGTAAAACTTTTACTAGAATATTCATTTGTTGACTTAAATTATGCCGATGATATAGTGAAAACGCTGACAAAGCGACATCCTCTGATACAACTAGGCATGCAACAACTAAATCACACCTGACAGAGAAACTTTGGAAGATATGAAAAGATTTATGTACCTGATCACCATCAACGGATAAGCAGGGTGGATTTGATGAGGATATGAATTACAGATTAGCAGTGTTTATACAACTGAACATTTGGAATTCAAATCAACAGTCTTTCAGTGAGCACCAATTTACAAATTTTAGTATGAAACTCAAGATAGTTCTGCCACGTCTAGGTCTGAAACCAGCCTGGTTTTCTCTAGTCTGTTCTTCATGAGCACTAGAGTTAGGCGTCTAAGTATAATCGAGGCTAACAATTTAGAAACTATATTAGATAGACTTATTCCCCTGTAACTGTCACAAGAAGACATACAAATTCGGATAACCAGGGATCGAGACCAGTCGGATGGGATTGCGTCCAGTTCCCAGATTCTACCTAAGATCTCAGTCAACCTAGCTGATGAAACTGGACCACCATCCTTAAATATCTCAGGGGTCAGTCTATCAGGACCTGCAGCTCGCCCTCGCTTCAGATTTCCTAACGCTTTCTCAACTTCATAAAGGCTAGGGGGACGTACATCGATTTGCCATTCAGGATGACTGGAGATCGTGGGTAACCGAAGAGTGGCTCGAGGCCAGTTGAAATGATCCCTAAAGTGTTCTGCCCATCGATCCAGTCTCCTGGATTGAGAATAAGTGATAGTCCCATCCTTTTCCGAGATAGTCTCACTCACACTAGGATTCCTAATACCAGTTTCCTTGATAAGTCGGAAAAGTTGTCTACTGTTACCGATCGCTGCTGCCTTTTCCATCGCTTTTGCCACACTGTTCACGGTCGTTATGTAGGCTTCTTATCAGTCTGCGCCTAAGCTGACTTCGTTCTTCATCATGTTCAGAGCCAGGTGGAATTAGTTTTCGGGCATCCATCAGATCGGTGGATACTGCAAAGATTCACGGCTTCATTCTAACCTTAAGGTCAACCTCACTAGCAGATATCACTGCTGTTTCCACAGCCTTCTTGATATGATTCCAACGTACCTCCGGATGAGAATCGCTTAAATGGTCGCCTAACTGTCTTCCTAGTTAACCCTGAAATATATTTTTCGCCTTATTATCATTAGGTAAAACCCTAAGAGGCTTTCTTACGGTGTCTTTCCTACGCCCAGTAAGCTTCAAACAAATACGTTCTCGCACTAGGGCACGATCTGAATCTAAACATATGCCCCAGAACGAGCGATAGTCCTCTATCGAACCCCTCCATCGGTGGCTGATGGAAATGTGATCTGGTTGCGTCCAACGTTGAGACGACTTCGGGGGTCGCTAGGTCAAGAGATGTTTCCCCTTATGCCTAAAGTTAGTATTTGCTAGAAATAGGCGGTTATCTGAGCACAGTTGCAACAGACGGTCACCATTCTGTTCTCTGAGCCACGACACCATAACATCCACCTAGATGAATTTCCTACTCACTTAGTCTACCTACTTGAACATTAAAGTCGCCAGCCATTATTACTACATTAGAGCGCTTAACTATTTCGAGGAGGTCCGAAAGCTTTCTGTAGAATTCATCTGTCACATCGTCTAAACTGCAGTCAGTATGAGCGTAGGCAGATACGACGAAGAGGTAACGACGGGTGTCCTTATCCTTCCGAATCCTTACTGTCCCGTTAAGTCAGACAGCGAACAATCTATTGGGGTACAGTCTAGGGGCGCTAGTTCTGCCCTACAATTCAATGCTATACCCACACCAGTGAGACCCCGGGAAGCAGCATCAGAGCCGCCGGATACACGAAGAGTAAAGCGGGCTGATTCTTTGTTTTGATGAGGTGGAATGAAATTAATAGAATTACTGGGATTTTGTATGCGCGTTTCCGAGACGCAGCACACATCGATGGCACGAGATTCTGAAGTCTTAGCTAATGATGCCTGTCGCCCTATTTGACACAAAGTCCGTAAATTAAATGCTCCAACATGTAGTCTAGAACGAGGTTTCAGAAGACCAGGAATAACTTTTCGTGAACTCTCATCGTTCGCATTAGCTGTGCACTGTGATAAAGGAATGTGAGTAGAGTCTGTTGTGGAGAGAAGAGAGGTATGTGTGGGTGTACGAAGGATATAATTTAGACCAATTTGGTCTCGTGTGCTGTCACGGGTATGAGGGCGGTTGTCGCTTACAGTCTGCCCACACCATGGAAGCTTGTTTCTTGAGGGACCTGAAAAGGAAGATAGATTAGTGTTGGTCTTGGAGACCTGGGTGCGTGACCGCGGAGTACAAGGGACAACTGCTTGAGGCCGGTCACGCATGACCTGTTTATGAAGCATTTTTGAGTATTAGCTCCGCTCTTAAAGGCCCTTAGTGGGCACCCTTACCCAAGGAGACTGAAATCCGTGAGGTCGGTTCAGGTGTGACATTTTAAGGGTCGACCTTTTCTAACCCTTCCTTCCTTCCTTGTGAGAAGGAAGCATCGCTGCAGATGCTGGTTGTCCGAGGGAAACACCTTATTGCTGTCACACCCCTGCACAGTCAGTCAGCAATACGACTTTGCCCTCAGACCTTGAGTAGCTGCTTTTAGTCTCATCGCTCTCCAATCGACCTGCCTGGCATGGGTAGAACCTTGAGGAACATATGTTCCAGCCAATATAACTCGGTTGGGTCATGACGATAGGTATACCCGACCACCACGTCAATGTATTAGCTAGAGTCGGGGCTAGAGAAACACGATCTGTGGAGAATAGGAGACAGACGTAAGAAGAATGAATAGCAGTTGTATAGGACTAAAAAGAAGAAAGAGTTAGTTGGAGAACGTTGGTAGACGGTCTGTGTTTCATCCACTACAAGTAACAATCGTAAGCAATCTTCCTTCGTTGCATTATTACCATTGACTAATCTGCTTGATAAACAGGTACAAAGTAAGAGGTGTAAATGAAGTAGAAATTTTTTTTCGAGATAATTACACAGTAAATTCATGGGAAAAATCTACAGATTATGAACCGAAGATTGCCATAATCGAATTGAACTAATAAAGTTTTCTGTGCTAATTTATTCAATCCAGCATATGCGACAATATATATATATTTATATCTCATAACTGTGCCAGTAGAACCTTAGGGGCTATGCCGGTCCCAAGCCCGGGTGAAGAAGGAGCGTTGGACATGGGGTTGGCGACCCCATTGCGTCGGAATCGAACTTGCCAAAGAAACGCTAACCAGAAAAAATTATTCAAACCATTTTACCTCTGCCCTGGGAGTTGGAGAAAGAATTATGACGTCGCGTGATGAACGCCAAATTATCTCGGAATTCACGAGGTCGATGCCTCTTCTGACAACCAGAGCGACCATTCTTTTATTTAGATCGAACTTTCAAACATTGTATGAGACTGGAAGACTATTTCAAGTTGCGGCAGAAATGAAAAGATACAGCCTCGAGGTGCTCGGCATCAGTGAAACGCATTGGACACAGGTAGGACAACTGAC